GTTGAACTGTGTCGATTTGTGCTCCTCGCTGCTGGGGGAGATCTTTCAGAGCGCTAACTACATGCAGCTGCTGGAACAGTTGCTACGCAGGGTGTCAGACACAACAGCACTTCGTTACATTTCTGTGCTCTGGGGCCTTTTCTGTACTGCGCAAGATCTCTACGAATCATTGGCCACATTGACGCAGGTGCAACTTGTGGATGCGATACATGTTTTTCAACAGTCTCGCAACCGGCACGCTTCGGTCCATTCCTCGAATGTCTTGAAGGCACTGCGTTGGTTTGCATCTACAGTACAGCCGGAAAACTTTCCGTCATTGCATCAGGGCCTTTTTCATGCAAAATCATGGCAGTCACAGTCCGTGAAGCGCGAGGCCATCCCACTTCCACTGGGTTTCATTTACTGGCTGGAGTGTTGTATTGTCTTGGGCAGCTTCACTCCGCAAGAAATGCTTTTTGCGGGTGCATTGATGCTCTGCGTATGGGGCAGCTTGAGATTTGGAGATGCACAACATTTGCGCTTGCAGGATTTTTACATTGATTACGATAGCATTCGTGGCGTGGCTTACCGCACTAAGGCCAAAGCTTTCATGCCCTTTGGCTGTATAACCGCTGGCTTGACATCTATGCCTGGGGGGCGATCATGGGTTTTACACTGGTTGCATTCCTTCGCGAAACAGGTGACCCTCTGTAGAGAAACTGGCGACTTCCCGGATTACATTTTCCTGGCCTTCGACTCAGGTGAGGTTCGGCCGATGAGCTATGCAGAGGCCTTAGTGGGTCTGAGGGGCCTGCTCCAGCGCTGGGGCGAACTTGAACCCCAGCAGTGTTGTCAATACACTTTGCATTCCATGAAAGTCACGCTGTTAGCTTTCTACAGACACATGGGAGCCTCGTTGGAAATCCGGCATTTGCAAGGACATCATTCCTTTGCTCCATCTTCTACATTGTATGGCAGGGACGACATTGCGCCCATCCTTCAGGCACAGGTCGACTTCGTCAAGAAGGTTGCCTCTGGTTGGAGGCCGCGCACGCCCATTTTGCGCGGTGTGACGTACATGCCACGGGAACCACCTGTAGAGCTGGGGACTGTAACCCTCACTGATGTGGAGTGCATTTCGTCTTTACCTTTCTTTCATTGGGAGGTCACTTCGGTGCAGGAGGAAACCTTCAGTGTTGTTGAGGGTGATGCGGAATCAGCCCCCTTGCATGAGTCGACAGCGATTGAACCATCGGTTGTGCATTCGGGGGGACCACCCCCTGTTCCAGAGCCTGTGGAAGGACTTCAGGAAGAGGAGACGTCCGATTCGGAGGTTTCCATTGAACAGGCAGATGAAGTTGCATTTTTATGTGCGGAGACATCATGCATTTTACATGCTTGCGTTGATGGCAAACCTGCTTGCAACAGCCGGGGAACGTTTCGCTTCATTTCTCACCCCGAGTCCAAGGCTCGTTTTTGAAGGGCGCGGGCTTGTGCAGCTGTGTTTTCACGCCTGCTGTGATGCGTGTTTTCCATTCCCTTCATTTCATGGGGGGGGGGGGGACATGGGGGGGGGGAGGTACCCTGTAGGCCCCCCATACATTTTCCCTGTCTCCCACTGACTGGATTTTAGGAGACGATCCAATTTTGCCATTTTGCCGGAGCTATATAATGTCCGGCAAAATGCATTTTGGGGCACGCGTGGAGCTAGGGAGACAAGCTTTGCAGAGGGGTGTGGATGATTTGCTGCCTTGATGTTCTGCCTAAATCTGTCAGTGCATGCTTCAGTCCTTTGCTGTCGAGCTCCAGCCTAGGCCGCCTTTTGGAAGAGCTGCGTGTTTGTTTGGCCATGTTGAGTCTTCTGGACAGTGAAGCTCATTTTGAAAAGAGGGCCTGCGCCAGTCCGTAGGGCAAGGCCATTTCTTACCTTTTCACGTTTTTCGAGCTTGCATCTGCGTACATGCGGCATGTTTTTGCGGATGTCAGCTTGCGCCGGCTGCTCTGTGGCTCTAGCCGCACCTTTCAGTTGAGCGTGCAGTTGCTCAGTGGGGACTCAGGTGCCCCCCTTCCATGTCAGTCCTTGATGCTTTCATGCACTTTCACTAGCTGCATTGCCGAATACTGACCTTGGCAAGTTACATCTTGCTCCTGGGGTGCATTTTTTCTCTAGTTTTCCACACTTTTGTCCACGCCATGGACAACATTCGTGCGCCGCAAGAGATCCAGGATGCATTGCGGCTGATTTACGACACGGATGTCGAGCAGCTCGCTGGCGTGGTTCGTTCGGGCCCGAATTCCGGGCGCCGCAAATTGCTGCTTGCATTGGCGATGGCAGCAGAGCCTACATTGCGTGTGGTACGGGAGGAGCCCCCGCAAGATGCATCTTCTGCATCTCCTGCTCCATTGGTCCCCGAGTCAGAGTCAGGGACCTCCACTACTGCACCATCGGCGACTTCGGCTCCTGCATTGAGTGGATCGGAGGCAAAAGACCCGGCCCCTACATTGCCAAAGGAGCAGCTGGAAGCCCAGCAACGTGCCCCCACTACATTTCAAGTGGCGGATCCAGCGCCTACTCCTACATTGCCTGACACGACGACACCGGTGGCCACGCGCCAAGTTGTCTGTTGTCGAGCTCGTTGCATGGTTTTGGGCTGCAATGCATTATGCGGCTACAGTTCGGAAGTACCGAACGATACACATTTTGCTCCATTGGCTGGCGTTCGTCACCATTGCAAACAACATTTTCGAGCCCGCCTGGAAAACCGTGGCACACAGGGTACATTGCACTCTGGTGGTCAAGATGACCAGCAAACCTGGAGCCAGGACGATCAATGGTCCGATTGGGACCACGATGACTGGGGCTGGGGATCGTGGTCTTGGCGATGGTGATGCATTGGCACCGTGGGCGAAGCAGCTCCCCCCCTACATTTTGTGACCTGGCTTGGTAGGGGGTGTGTACATGGGCTGCACTTTACATTGATTTTCCATGAAGTCGTTTGCATTGGTCTGGCTCTGCAGTCACAGACCAGCGCGGTCTCACGGCATCGTGGAGCACAGCCGAGCTAAAACATAGTGGTTCGCGTGCGGGCAGTTGCATCCCACAGTCTCATTCATGCTTCTTGCGACTGAAGATGATTGCAGCTCTGGCATGTGCATTGCACCTTGGTGCATCTGCTGCATTTCGGGAGCTCAAGCTTCCAACCCGTTTGCGACTCGGGGTGGGGGGGTTCTTCGTAACACCACACACATCACTTCGCATTTATGCACTGCAGTTACTTCTTGTGTCAGCTGGAAGAAGTCTTCTCAGTGTTGCCAACAACTTGTGACCACTTGTGCGGTCTTAGAGCATTCCAATTTTCCTAGCGCTACGCCATTGCGCCCAATTCGACATACAGCGGCCGCCTCCTGTCGCTGCCGTCCCGTCAGTGTGCCTTTCCATTTGTGGGGAAGATGCCGCTGATGTCTCTGGAGGAAGTCCTGAGGGAGGAGAAGGTCCCCGAGGACCTGCTGTCACCCCTGGTTGAGGCTCTGACGTTGCATAGTTTTGCGTGCCTTGCAACAAGTTCTGAGTCTGTGGGAGATGCATTGTTGGATATTTTGGAACCGGCGCTCCATTCGAGTTTGACAACATTGCCATTGGCTTGCATTCGTGCTGCACACATGCGTTGTTTGTCCATGATCAACCCGACGACTTCACAGGAAAGGCCCCAGCCCGTCGCTGGGAGTGAGGCACAACCATCGTCCTCGTCGTGGACGGAGACATTTCCTGCAAAAATGAGCAACGAGAAGGTCGTTACATTGCGGAAGAAGTTTGAGTGCGATTACCCTTCGGAGATTCTTGATTCACATTCCATGCCGTCATCACGTCTACTGGCGATGGCAAACAAACAAGTGCAAGATAAGAGCTTTTCTTACATTTCATGGCGTCACCGACTTAGCGACGAGAAACTGGAGGAGATGCAAGCCACGCGCCCTCGCAAGGTGGCACGCTTTGAGGACTATTTCTTCGATGAAATTCCTTCCAGGGACATTCCTGAGTCGGGAATGAGTCAAATGTTCCTGTTGCATTTACTGGATTTGGTGGCATTTGCATTCTGTCTATTGGGGCGGCTCATCTTTCCAGTTTTCGTTCTTACAGCAGGTTATTTCTTAAGCTTGCCTTTGCACGACCGGCAGCGGAATCCGGCCTGCGAGCCCCCAACGTCTATGAGATGCAGCTCGCCGACAAGGAGGCATGGCGTTGCATTTGTGACTTGGCGAATTCAGGGTGGACACTGGATGATGCTTTACATGAAGTGGTTCAGGTTCGTTGTCTGCTGCAAACTTATTTGCAGCCTCGTGCATTTGTTCCGAAGCCTAAGCCCGGGGGGCGCCAGACAGACGACAAGCTTACAGGCACGGGGCGCCCGGGCAGAGGAAAAGGTGGCAAGGGACGAGGACGTGGGAAGTCAACACCGTCTGGTCCCAAATGGTGCATTGAGTTTTCCGAGGGCGGCGCTCGGAAAGCGATGTGCAAGCGTTGGAATCTTCGCAGCGGCTGCAAGTTGGATTCATGTCAGTTTGTTCATGGCTGTTGCATTGATGTTGGGGGAAAGCCCTGCGGCAAGGACCATCCGGCCTACTTGCACAAGAACTGAAACGGCCCGGGCTCACCGGGGGAGGTGGGTGCCGGGCAGATCGAGTCCTTTCCCCAGCATCACAGACGAGCACCAGCCCCATCGGCGGGGCATACATCTACATCAGCGGAGGAGATTCTAGATCTGTTGGAAAATACATTTACAGAGCCTGTGCATAAATGGCGGCGATTGGAAATTGTGGGCAGCTCTGCATCAGCCTCCTACTACAATGTGGGGGCCTTTTCCCAAGCAGGACGCCTTGGCATCACCAGAGCGTCGCATGATTACTCCAGTATTCTTTGCCGTTTAAACTCATGGTTGTGCATGCTTTTCCCCTTGGGGTCTTGGTCGTCGATTTGCATTTCCCACTGTGAGTGTCTCCGACTACATCGCGATCTTTCCAACATGGAAGGCACGTTGAACTACTCTGTTGCATTGGGCGACTTTTCCGGCGGAGGCCTCCTGCTCGAATCCCCGGAAGGGAAGATTACATTGCCACTTCCTGACTCTGAGGAAACTCGTTGTTTTGTTGTGCATGACACCAAGGCGCATCCATTGGCCTTCGACGGCTCACTGTGGCATGGTACGCAAACGTTTTCTGGCAACAGGTGGGTCATCACAGCTTACACTTGTCGACGCCTGGAGGAAGTGCGAGCTGAAGACATTGCGCTGCTGAAAAGCTGGGGGTTTCCATTACCTTCAGCGGAAATCCCAAAAACGGTCCCCCTTTCATCAGCTACCTCACCGTGTCGGTTTTGCCTACTACTTGCTGATGCTCCGTCAGAAGGCTTGTCGCATGCATTGGCTGCAGATGCTCTCCCCTTTGTCCAGTTCGACCCGGTGATTCAGGCCGATGTTAGGGATCTGGTTTTTCGAGCTGCAGCTGAGGGCGTGTTTCCCTTTATCATGGTGTGCATTCATGCTGCTTGGTCTCCTCGTGACATGGAGTGGGTTCTGCATTTGTGCCACGTGGGGTTTTCTGCAGGCGCACAGGTGGTGGTCGATATATCAACATGGCCATCTTGCTGGGAAACCCCCCTCTTCAGCCACTCAGTGTCATCATTTCTACGCTGCATTGTCTCAGTTCCCCCCTGTGCATTCGGGGAGGCTTGTGGTCCGGCATGGTTGTTTGTTACATCGTCGGAAGCTTTTGCCAGTTTCGGCGACATTTGTGCAAGGCGGACTTGTACACTACATTCAAAGTTGCCCCCGTATCCTCAGAAGTTTAAGGTGGCTCTGTGCAACCTTTTGCCTGGGCTTTACCCAGTCCCAGTCGAGGAGTGGTACATCGGTGGAGGATGCGTGGGCCTGCATTCCGATGAAAGATTTGGCGGCCCCCCCCACGCCTGGGTGGATGGCGGGGGGTTGCAGAGCAACCCTGATTGGAGCGGCCCAGCGAAGGGTCGCAACAATACCCTCAAAATGTTGCGTCATACATTGATGTCCTTTTGTGGAAAGAAGCTGATTCTATCGCGATTGCGGGAACATTTGCGGGAAAAATCTGATTCTCCATTGTTCACTGAACAGGAGGTTGGCGAGCTGCGCAAAGACATTTCCGCTTGGTTCTCCTCGGAAAACATCGATAAGGTGGACTGGTGCATTCCGGAGGGCCAACCTTACTGCCTGCATGCACTCGCCACATTGAGCCATTTCCTGCAAGATGTGGACACTACATTATTTGGTTGCCTGTTGCAGGGCGTACCGACGGGTTTTAAGAATGACATACCACCTTCGGGCTGTATGGCACCGTCTGGCAAAGCTGGCACTGACGAGTCATTACAGGTCTGCCAACAAAATTGGCAGGGTGCTGAAGACGATCCAGTTCTTCTGGATCGCTTGGTTCAGCAGGAAGTAGACAAAGGCTGGTTGCATCGCGTTGAATCGCTTGAAGAGGCGAAACGACTTTTTCCACAAGTGGCTGTGGGAAAAATGAACATCGTCCATTCTGAAGGAAGGGACCCGCGACTAGTGGTGGATTCCTCCATTTGTGGAACGAACGCGGCTTGCTCAATCCCAGAAAGGAGTGCATTGCCAACGCTACAATCCATTCTCTCTGCTTGGCCACTTCGGGGCCTACGTCAGCATATTGCGGCATGGTCTTTGGATGTGAAAGCGGCGCACAAGTCCATTCGTGTTCGTCGCTCAGAGCAGGGACTACTTGGAGTGCGCGTCGGCAATACATTTTTCTTCTATTCGGTCTGCCCCTTTGGGGCGGCCTTTTCGGCCTACTGGTTTGCACGATTGGGGGCCTTTTTGGTCCGGACTTTGCACCTCCTGATCTACATTTCACATTTCTTGGCCCTATATGTGGACGACCTTTTGGGTTTTCAAGTTGCGTCGGTGGCTGAGATGTCTTTCTCTATAACGCTTGCATTTTGCGCTGCATTCGGGGTACCACTGAGTTGGAAGAAGTTACAATTTGGCACGTCCATTACATGGATAGGCTGGCAGCTAGATTTCGCCAAGGGTTGCGTGTGCATTCCACCCGCAAAGCTGGAACGCTTGAAGCTGTTGTTGCAGGGGCTTTGCGAGGAAAGTATACTGATCGAGTCACGCTGAGCAAAATTTGTGGCATTCTTCAGTGGCTGTTTAAGCTTTTCCCTATGGCCCGCCCTTGGCTTCGAGCACTGTACATGGATCTCCATGCACCAAGGGCAACAAACTTGAGTTTGCGCCAAGGCCAGGTGGCTGTCTTTCGTCGAGTGCTTGACATTCAGCGGGTTCCAGCAGGTACCGCCATTTCCATTGGCAGCCGAGTTCTGAATGTTCGTCATAAAAAAGTGATGACGAAGTCGGAGCTTCTCAAGTGCAATCTGGGGGATAAGGATATTTGGCTCCGAATATCTGACCCAGCTTCAAAACGGCGCCAGCTTTCTCCAACCTCTCGGGAGTTGGTGCAGTTCTGGTGTCGCTGGTCCTCCCTGCCACCTTTGTGGCGTCCAATGAAGCCTTTGCCTCAGCTGAAAGTGGAGGCGGCTGCTGACGCAATGGGCCAAGGCGACCGCTTTGCAATTGGTGGTTACATTACATCTGCCTCAGGTGATTTTTGGTTTTCGGAGCATTTTTGCATCCAGGACTTTGCGTTTGCGGAGATCCCATTACGATCAGAGGCGAGTCGGGACATAAGTTGCTACGAGGCCCTGGCACAAATTGCATTGGTCTGGCTGATGGGCCAAATATCCCCCTTTTCTCTGCTTTCAGTCCGTATTCATTCTTGGTGTGATAATACGGGGGCAGAGGCTTCCTCAAACAGTCTTTTCACAACAGCCTGGCCATTGGCGGCATTTACTCAACGTTTGGCCTTTCCAGCCTAACGGGCATACATTTGGATGTGGGTCACATCAGTGGTCCCAAGAATGTGGATGCAGACCACCTCAGCCGCTGGGTTCCCCCAGCTCCACTGGCTTCACGCTGGAAAACTGAGCACAGACGCAGAGTTTCCTTGCGCCAGTTGTGGTTTGCATCCCCAGCCGTAGCTGTTTTTCCGAAAGCTTGGCGTCCCCCCTTTGCTCTTCCAAGCTCATCTCCATTAGGAGCTGCCTTGTAAATTCCATATTGTGCAGCCTGCACGGTTAAATTTGGCGAGTTCTTTGCGCGTCTGCTCTTCCAAGCTCATCTCCATTAGGAGCTGCCTTGTAAATTCCATATTGTGCAGCCTGCACGGTTAAATTTGGCGAGTTCTTTGCGCGTCTGCACTTCTTCTCTGCCAGGGTTTAAACTTGGGGAAATACATGCCGATCCATGCCGATGTTTCTTCTTGAGTCGACTGAGTCGATTCTGACTTGTGCGAAATGGATCTGCATTCCGGCAGTGAAAGAAGAAGTGCACTTCGTCTTGAGCTACTTCCTTCGCTCTTTGAGATGTAGGATATTGTGAAACAAATCATACATTGCTTTATCGCATTAAAGCTAGTACCAGCTGCGGCCAAATACTGTGACCGAACGGTTTGTGTGCTTGCTCACGTATGTTTGGTCACACGTTTTGCACGCATGCTACATTAGTGCAACATGTAGCATGCAGGCTCGCAGCTGCAACAGTGGTCCTTTAGGGACCTTTCGTTTTCACCCACCCTCCACGACCCTTTTAATCGTACATTGAGCTTGATGTAAATACGGGAACTGCGTTTTTCCATTTCTTCCTTGCTCAAGTTTTCATTCCTCGGGGAGGCATGAAAGGCTCGATTTCCTTTCCTTCCATATGCTGTTGCATTTGTCGGCAGAGACAGCGGGCTGAGCCCCTGTCGGGGGAAATACATGCCGATCCAGAGGTTTCTTCTTGAGTCGACTGAGTCGATTCTGACTTGTGCGAAATGGATCTGCATTCCGGCAGTGAAAGAAGAAGTGCACTTCGTCTTGAGCTACTTCCTTCGCTCTTTGAGATGTAGGATATTGTGAAACAAATCATACATTGCTTTATCGCATTAAAGCTAGTACCAGCTGCGGCCAAATACTGTGACCGAACGGGCGCAGAGCTTCAAGTACAATCTACAAAGAAAGGGCGCGGAACAAACAGGGACACAACAAGAAGACTATTTCTACTCTAGCAATCTGTACACTATACATCTAGAGCTGTCTGAACTTACTCATGGCCCAAGAAGGTTTCTTTCGTAGCCTTCTTCTAGGAACCAAAATGTTACGGATATACAGCGTTGAGATGTGCAACCTCATACCTGATACCTTGGGGTGATCATACAGCCTGGAGCGTTTTCAACAAAGGCTGTAACTTGGCCCGCGCATTGTTCTCCCTGCTGACAGGGAAGCTTTTCCGAGAACTTGCTGAGGTGGCAGGCTGGGACCGAGTGATGCGTTGTCTAACAGGTTATGCAGATGATCTCACGGTTCACTGCAACATAACTAGTTGGAAAGACCTGACACGGGCCCACAACATGATAGCTGATCTCCTACGCATTGTGAGGAAGTACGGCTTTAAGGTAAACTCAGACAAATGCCACTTAATGGTCAAGCTGATGGGCACCGCTTCCGCCAGAGCACATAAACTCTTCAGCAAAATCAGAGCATGGAGGATAGGAAGCACCAATGCCCAGGAGCCTTTCCCGCAACCCTCTTCCTTTAAGTATCTCGGCGTGTATGTGTCTTACGGCAACCAGGAGAAAGCCACGCTGGACTACAGGCTGCAGGAGGGTAATGCCAAACTGCAACAGGTACGAAGATATGTACACAATCGCAGATACTCAGGTCCAAAAAGCAGATTGAAGATTTGGCAAACCACAGTTTGGGCCACAGTCTCAGCAGGCTTGGTCGACATAGGGCTCACAGCGGAGACCGCTCAGCAACTGCGCAGCTGGTATGCCAGGAAAATCAGAGCAGTCCTCAACAAACTGGTACATCTTACAGGCGTATCGACGAAACAGCTGTACACGGACTTTGGAATTAAAGATCCAGTCCAATTGCTTTTGGAACGCCAGAGCAATCGAGTCCGATCGCTCAGGAAACGACAGAATTCCCAAACCAGTCCCTTGCTGTCGGCAACCAACGCAGAGACAGAAGCCAAGCACTGCTGCAAGCATTGTTCTTTTCAGACCTCATCCGAGCAGGGGCTACGTATACACGAAGCCAAGATGCATAGAGACAAGTTGGATCGTTACATTCCCACAGATTTCCTGCCAGAACACTCAACGGATGGACTGCCAACATGCGCAGCGTGCCATAAGCAATTCGTTCTTTGGAAAGGACTGAAGGACCACCTTCTCTCCGGAGCCTGCACAGAGCCGGAGACCTTACGAAGAATAGATGCCCAGCACTCAGAACTGCAAGACAAAGCAGATCAAACCGAGTCAGTGCACCTGGTCGCGCGAACACCTGACCAGCACAGCTGGCACGCATACCGTCACGCAGCTAGCTCGACAGCCAGTCTCCAAGCATTTTGTGAATCATTGTGTGCTATGTGGCTTCTGGACGCATGATCACACCAAAGGTTAAATCGCACCTGCATCAGGAGCATCGAATGATCGGGATGCTCTACATGAAAGCACCATGCTACAGTGCCAGAAGCTTGGGACAGAAATCCTCAAAGGCAGACCTTGCCCCTTCTGCAACAAGAATGTAACGGATAGGCGCAAGCACCCAGAGCAATGTGGAGTACTCTTTCAAATCCTCTTAGGCGATTCCGTGCTGCAAATAACTAGGACAACCACGGGACCGCTACAGTCCTTCTTTAAAGTGGCTAATCCCACAGTGCGACCAGCAGCCAAGCCTAAACCTCCGATTTCTGTTGGCACAGAGCCCCCCCCCCTTGACAGGACTGCAGCGGGTGCTTTCCCTCATCCCCACTCTTCTTCTTCTTCTTCTTCTTCTTCGCTCTCCTCTCCTCTCAAACTGAGCTTTCGTGCTTCTGTTGCAACGCAGGAAGAGAGCCGAGGTGATGCTTCCCATGATCTGAGCTTCTCCCTCTCCCACCCCCAAGTCGCTTCTCTTGCATTCAAGAATACCTCCAACTACTGCTATGTCAATGCAGCTATGCAAGCCATGCTAGCCACTACCACTATGGATTCGTCATTGCGATCACTCCAACCGTTACTGAGCCTCATCTCGAATACGGCGCAGTCCTGCACTGCCCCTCCCCTCAATCTAATCAACCCATTCCCGCTTCGAAGCCTGCTGCCCAGATGGAGATTCGATGGCACGCAACAAGACTCGGCAGAATTCCTGCAGAGCTTCCTGGCAGCTGCTTCAGAGCTCCCTCTAACGCGTAGATGGGCAACAGTTGATCTGATCACGGGGAGATTGGCTGTGGAGGGAGGTCCCCTCATCATGCTCATGCAACACTCGGCCAGCAGCCACTGCATTCCCTAATTGACGAGTGGTCTTCGGTGCCCCCAAACACAACTCTGCTGGGGCAGCAAACTCTGGGATAAGAAGCCCAACAAGCACAAAACATGACTGCCGAAGCTTAAAGAGAAAAGGTTCCAACTGCCATTTTACAAAGACATAATGAAGAAATGCGGTGCAAGCTCTGAAGCCGACCGAAATGTGCAAGGGCAAACGAGCAACCTCCAAACCCATTTTGCACTGTTCAAGACCGCGCAGGAAAATTTTTGGGACAATGCTCAGGGACTCGCTTTGAGGGAGAGGTCCCTACAGACACGCATCGATATAGAAGGTAGGCTGACGAGGCGACACCAGCAATTGCAGAGGTACGGCGACAAGGTGCTGAGCAGTACATGTGTCTGCTGCACCACACACCCACTCCCAGGGAGACTGCACACATTTATCCAGCCAGACCGTGCTGACAGGGGTCCTGACGGAGTTGTGACTGACGCTTCAGGCCCAGTTCTCACAGCCGTCATCAGCTGCCGTCCGCAAGTGCACCTGGTAGCACGTGAAAGTGGCCCCTCTGGTGAACATGGCTTCGATGAATGCGCGAGAGTTCTGAGCGCAGTGCGGGTATCGCAGCGTCGTTCCCGTGATCGCTGAAGGAAGTCGGGCTCCGTAAGCTTCAGGTCGGGAAACCCCCCACTCACATTCCAAGCTGCGTACTCCAAAAAACAAGAGAGAGGAGGTGGCCCCCTCGCCACTCGTCTCCATGACACAGCTCGTGTCTCCCTGGCCAAGCACAGGTGCTTCCTTCGCTTTCGCATGCTGTCAGTGAATGACCTTCTTGTGCGACTTTGACTTGTGTGGGTCGTGTATCGCTGCGGGCGTTGGCTCTGAGACAGTCGGCGCTTTTCAGATGCCAGCTGTTCCCGCGCTGGATTTTTCGGCCCTGCGCATTTTATCTGCTCGCTCGGAACAGCGCTGCCGAGAGCTTATTCTAGACTCCTTTGTGGCGTGCGTCGTGGCTTTGAGTGCTAGGCGCTTCCAGCTGTCCTGCTTCTGCCCCGGCCCTTCTTTTGTTGGCGTTGGCATATTTTGCTTTCAGGAGTCCCCGGCCTTGGCAGTGGACGGCCTGGTTTTCAGATTGGCCCGTACCGCAGCCGCTAACGGCCAAGAGGTGGCTTGCTTTAAACAGTGTCCGGCAGCCTTCAATACCGTTTCGTCTTCAGGGGCATTCCCTATTACGACGGTAGCCTGTGCAATTTTCACGCACTGCTCGTAGATAAGATGTTGCCTCTGGATGAGCATCCCAGCGCCCATTTGTTTTCTGGCCAGCTGGCCACCTTGGCAGGTGTTTCTTGCCGTGACCTCGGGCGCAAGAACTGGGGGCTGCGCTTGCACTCGCAACTGTCTTTGGCTTTCGACGCCGCGGCCTCGACGCCTATGCACACTTGCTACAAGTCCCTGTGTTTATAATCGATGCCAACTGTTGTCGGGTTCTGCAGCACTACGGAACATGAGCTCAGCCGGTGATTCCGGGG